AAAAAAAAAAAAAAAGTTCAATTTTTTTTGTTAACACCTTTAAACAAAGTCATACATCAACATAGAATAAAATCTATTCTGATTAACAATCCAGGTGAGAAGTGGTTTTCGCGCCAAGACCAGGCCGGTGAGCTACCGTAGTGTCTAAGAAGAGGTACGGAGAATTGAGTAGAGGGAGGGGGTTGGGGTTGGGGATAACAGTGCGGAGTGAGGAACTGATGAAGGCGGAGCAACTTGAGTGGCCTCGATCGTGGTAAATGGTAAACGGCTGGCCGTGTACGTGTCTCTGTGTGTGTGTGTGTCTGTGTCTGTGTCGGTGTTGTTACCCGATTAGTTGCTGAGGAATCATTTGGTAGTGCAGCTCTCTCTCTCTGTCCCTCCCTCTCTCTCTCCCTCTCTGTCGGTGTACTGCTTCTGCTAATCAAAAAACTTACTGAGCTACATTAATCCTACAGAATCATCGTTATCCTTCGGTGTATTGGTGGAGAAAAAAAAAAAAACTGAAACTTGCTGTATAATCTTTTAACATTTTCTCGTTATTCCTTCCTTACTTAGTGAGTTTCCTACTGGAAATGGAACAACGCTTAAATTTAATGCTGCTGTATATCGTCTTTATTGTTTTCATCTGTATACAGGTTGGTAAAACCTTTTTTTTGCTTTTCTACCTTGTTTGGATGTATCAAATCAAGTTGAAAGTTGTAATTTTTCTTAAAAATTTTAATATTTTGATTATTTGCAAATTATTAAAGTTTTGCCTCCCTGTAGTTGACAGTTAACAAATTAATGATGAATTGCCCACTAATGAGAGCTTTACAAAACCTATTTTTTCTTGTAGTTTTTTCAAATTTTAGCTACTTATCTTATTGTCAACTCTTTCTCTTTTTTTTTTTAACGTTTTTGTCTGATTATTTAATTTGTTACCAATTAAACAGTGTTGGTTATTTTGAGTATAAGGTGATTTAGATACTTTTAAACAGTGAAATTAATGACGTCAAATAAATTTGTGATAATAAATCACAGATAATCTTCTGTCGTTTTCTTTCCAAACATTGATATACTGCAGTTAATAAATCTTATAAAAAAAAAAGAATACCAATTTCTGATTTGTTGCTTCT